ATAACTTGAGGCTGACTTTGCTTTCTGAATCCTCAGGCAAACTTTAATAAATCATAAATAATTTATCACCACAGGGACAAGGTGGCTTCTTTTTGCTGGGGTTGATTTCCTGTGCAAAATGCAATAGTTCTGGCAGCTGGAAAGACTGGTGTTTCCATTCTGAAGAAAGGTTGGTACGTGGATCTTATCAGAAGTTCCCCAATCCTGGCAGCTCACAGGTATTACCAGTCAAGTCAATTTCCCCCTTTGGGTTTCTCAGCCCACCTGAAGCTTCTAGGTCATTACTCCTTAGAGGAACCTGTGGTTTGGCTGCTGCTAAACCCATCCAGAGCTCAAGATGTCCCATGTCTCAGCCTTTATCCACTGAACTTCGAACTGATTTGAGAATTAGCAAAAGGTTGTCTGGCAAAGAGGAGGAGGTGGGTGTTATCAAGTGGCCTCTGCTTTCAATGTCAGGCCCCTGAGGCACTGGGTGACATCTTTTGTGGTCACACTGCTTACCCATTTGGTCACTCCAGAAAAGACAGTCTTTCCTGTGTGTCCTGTGGTCACCATTTGAACATGAATCTTTTCCCTTGGGAGTGGAACCATTTAGATCACCTTACCCACCCCTGGTATGTGACTCTACTTCTCGACCAGTGGTACCCTGTCACCCATCTCTCTGTGCTAAGCCAGACTCCTGTCTGGCCCTCACACAATTAGCATTCTGAATTGACTTCCAGAATCTTTTTGTCATCATTTTCCCTCATAATAAATAAAAACAGAGGGAATTTAGAAAATACAGAAACATCACTAAAGCACAATGATGTTACATGACCATTTACCAAAATAACAAGAGCAGGTTCTAACCTGGGGCCCATGACCTTCCCAGCCATGGGGTTTTTGACCAAAATTACAGTACCATTCATAGGATTCCTTCCTGTGAGGTAGGCCTCATATCCAACTGAAAAGCAGTTAGTTCCCCCCATAAGTCATGCCACTATTGCACAAATGGGCAGATCTTGCCTGGTGTCTGACTCGTCTATTGTTTTGAAGAGAAAAAAAGAGGTTATTGCGGGCTCACAGTTTGAGGGGGTGAGTCCATGACCATCATAATGGGAGCAAAGCAGCAGGCTGGCAAGCATGGAGCATAGAACTTATATATCTTATCCCCAAGCAGGAGACAAGAGAGCGCTGACTCACTAGGAATGGCTTCTGAAACCTCAAAGCACCTCCCCACCAACACCTCCCTCAAGACCACACCCTGAACACTTCCACCCACTGGGGAGCCTAGGTTGGGCATTCTCATTCACACTATTACAGCTGGCAAGTTACTACTGATTCATGCAGGGTTCAGCACAGGGTAAGAACACTGATGTCTTTTCTCAACCCTCAGGGCTACATAGAACTATGAAAACCAGCCAGCAGGGATGAAGTTTTCCACACATTTGAAACTGATTTCTTGAAATCCTATCTAAAGTGTGTATTAACGTCAGCAACAGGGACTTACCATATTAATATGGTGGGTAACTGTCTTGGTTAGGATTTCTGTTGCTGTAATGAAACACCATGACCAAAGCAACTTTGGGGGAAAAGACTTTATTTGGCTTATTGCTGTTCACCAATGGAAGTCAAGACAGGAGCTCAATCAGGGCAGGAACCTGGAGGGAGAAGCTGATGTAGAGGCCTTAAAGGCTGCTGCTTACTGGTTTGTTCCTCATGGCTTCCTTAGCCTGCTTTCTTATAGAACCCAGGACCACCAACCCAGGGATAGCACCACCCACAACGGACTGGGCCCTTCCCCTAATTAAGAAAATGCCCTGTCTTGAAAAACACAAAAAGGAAGAAAGGCAGGAGGGAGGGAAAGAAGGAAGGAAGGAAGTTAGGAAGGAGGGAAAGAAGGAAGGAAATGCCTTACAGAGGCATCTTCTCACCTGAGAGTCCCTCTTTCAGATAACTAGTGTGTGTAAAGTTGACATAGCCAGCACAGCACTCAATGGCAATGGAAATGGACTGTACTGTTTTGGAGACTTCTGGGGTCTTCCTGATCAATTAATTCACAAGGATCCACCACACGTCTCGCACTACAATTTTAGTTTAATAACCCATGTCTTTTGGGAGTGACACTGTCTTATTAATGCAGGGTAATCCTGTTCAAATTCCCTTTTCTAAACTTGTATTTTGAGAATAGCTAACTAGTGGGTTTCCACAAGGTTGTTTACAAATATCCTTGGTTTTGGTTAACCCACCAGCCCTCCCCTATAACCCATACCCTCCCCAATCCCATACACACTAAATCCTTTATGCCCTAATATCCCCTGCAGGGTAATAAGAATATATATATTTTAGTAAATCTTTCTGAAAACTCAAGATTACATGGTGTAAGCCGGTGTTTAAACTGGCATTCTGTGGGAAGAAAAACTTCAGGTTCAGTGATGCAAAACACAAACAGGACTGACACAACGCTGGCCTCCAAAGCCATGGCTACAATCAGAAAGTTAAAGCAAATGCTTAATTGGTAGGAATCGCTAACAACTATATGGAGGAATGAACTTCCAATGAAATAAATGCTTTATAGAATCAAAACTCAGGATTTCCTTATATCTTGTAAATAAATCATTACTTCTCTTGGGTACTTACTTGACTTTAAATTACTATAAAAGATAAAAATTCCTCCAAGACACTTAAAAATTGAAAAGGGATGAAGGTTTCAGCCTAGAACTACTAGGAATCTCTCTGGCAAATAATCTTAGTAGGTTAAACTGTTTAACCTACTACACACATGGAGCAGACATGTGGACAATGTGATTCTCTGCTGTACACTACCAGATCCAGATGACAGCATGGAATGCCAGGCTCCTACCTAAAGAATGGACAGATCGTACAAGATCTCACATGCCTAGCAAGCTACCCACTGAGCTACATCCCAAGCTGGTGTTTTTAATGAGGATAATATAGAAATTAAAGTTATTATCTTGCCTTATATAAAGTGAATAATTTCTTACATGCTAGGGGGAAAAAACTGCAAAGTTCAAAATCAGTTAAACCAATATTTATCTTGATTTTTGTTGTTGTTGTTGTTGTTTTGTTTTTCGAAACAGGGTTTCTCTGTATTGTTTTGGAGCCTACCTGGAACTAGCTCTGTAGACCAGGCTGGCCTTGAACTCACAAAGATCTGCCTGCCTCTGCCTCCTGAGTGCTGGGATTAAAGGCGTGAGCCACCAACTAACTCCCGGCTATTTATCTTGATTTTTTTTCTTTTTTTTTTCCCCCCAGATTTTTGTTATTTGAATTAGGAACAAGATTGTTTTACATGACAATCCCAGTTCCCTTCTCTCTCCCCTACCACCACCCCCAACTAAAACCCTACCTATCACATATCCTTTCTGCTCCCCCTGGATGGTGAGGCCTTCCATAAGGTGCCATCAGAGTCTATCTTATCCTTTGGGATAGGACCTAGGCCCACCCCCCGTTTGTCTTGGCTCAGGGGGTATTCCTCTATGTGGAATGGGCTCCCAAAGTCCACACCTATGCTAGGGATAAGTACTGAACTACTATAGGAGGACCCGTAGATTTCTGAGGTTTCCTCACTGAAACCCATGTTCCTGGGGTCTGGATCAGTCCCATGCTGGTATCCCAGCTATCAGTCTGGGGAGCAAGAGTTCCCTGATGTTCAGGTCAGCTGTTTATGTAGGTTTCACCAGCCTGGTCTGGACCCCTTTGCTCTTCACTCGTCTGCATCTGGATTCCAGTTCAGTTCAGTGATTAATTGTGGGTGTCTGCTTCTACTTCCACCAGCTGCTGGATAAGGGCTATAGGGTGGCATGTAAGTCAGTCATCAATCTCATAATCAGGGGAGAGCATTTAAGGTAGACTCTCCTCTGTTGCTTAGATTGTTAGCTGGTGTCATCTTTGTAGATCTCCAGACATTTCCCTAGTGCCTGATTTCTCTGTAAACCTAAAATGTCTTCCTTTATTATGGTATCTCCATTCTTGTTATCTTCTATTCTTCCCCTGACTCAATCTTTCTGATTTTTAAGATGAGATTTTTCACTTTCTACTTACTCAAAAACTTTTGAAACATATTTTGTGTGTGTGTGCACATCAGAATTTGACATGGTATACTGTGTGGAGGTCAGAGGGCAACCTGCAGATGTTCCTTCCACTATATGGCTCTTGGGAACAGAGCTCACGTTTTTATCAGATGCCTTGACCTACTTTCTCACTGGCTTCTAATTTTCTGTAACTTAAAATTAAACTGTATGTTGCGTTCATAATTGCCATCTTCATATACCCTACTCTTTGATCAAAATATTTTCAGGTTTTGTTACCTCCATAGCTATGCTAAGGCCACTTCTATCTGCACCATCTTTTCCTACACATCACATAATCAAATCCTGCCAGATAGTTGTTCCAAAGGCACTGATCTCACACTCCCGGTCCTGAGACTTCTCACCACCATCCTCTACCTGGAACTTGACTATAGGTGTTTTATAACCAATTGCAGTTTGCCTGGTATTTTCCTGCTAATCAGGTGACTGGGTTCTTGTAGAAAGAAGGTAAGATTTACTGAACTTTGTCTCTGACTATATACAGTGTAAGAGATACTCAACAAACCCTGGCTGAACTATGTGGCTGTGGTGTTTGAATGTTCTTGAATTACCCCCACAGGCTCATATATTTGAATACCTCATCTCCATTAGTGGAACTGTCTGGGAAGGGTTAGATGTGACTTTGTTGGAGGAAGTGACACTGAGGAACAGGCTCTGAGGTTTCCAAAGCCCATACCATTCCCAGTTAGCTCTCTCTGTCTTCTCTTTGGGGATATGCAAGATATGTCAGCTCTCAGGATCTAATGCCATGCCTGCTGCCATACTCCCTAACATGACAGTCATGGACCCTCTAGAACACTCTAGTAGTGTGAACCCCAAATTAAATGCTCTCTTTTCTAAGTCACAGCAATGGAAAGGTAATTAAGACAATACTTTCTTTGTGTAATTCAATACATATATTGTTAACAATTTACTAAGACACCAAAAACCACCTGTTTTATTTTTAATTTTGTACTTACATTGACTAGACAGCATGTTTCTCCTTTGCTTTCATATGCTTTCAAAGCTTAAAATTGGGTATTTTTAATATGTTACAAGTATGGAAAGATGAATTTATATTTTGAGGAAAACCTTTCATAATTCTACAAACATTGATATTTACAATAGCCTTAATGTAAATATATACAATGTAGCATAACATCTAAATGTACAAAATAGTTTTATATCATTATATTGGTATAGAACACTGAAAATACAAACTAGTGAAAAAATTCACAAAAAAATGGCTAGTATTGTAGGAAATCAGCAACAAGTTCATAAACTGCCATACAATATCTTATATATCACATAACTGTGCAAGTCAACTCTAATCTAGACTTTTAAAGGCAAATGACTTATCCACACAAATCATGCTAAAATCTAACTACAATTTTAAAATTCATAAGCAGACATTTTTCTCTTCGTTTTGTTTTAAAGATAGGGGCTTACTATGTAGTCCTGTTCCTAGAACTCACTCTATAGACCATGCTGGCCTCAAACTCTGAGACTCAGCTTCGGAGTTCTGGGATTAAAGGTGTGCGCCACCACACAGGGCTCAATTTTATGATAATATATGAAATAGGAATTTGAACTGTGAGAACATTCAATGAATTTCTAGAAAGCTACTAGGAATCCTCAGAGAAAACAAACCAGGCATTTTCCCTGGGACTCGTAAGTATACAATAGGAACACCAAAGGGGGAAAATAAAAGCCTCCCAGGTGCTGTGAGTTAATTTCACCTTTAAAGTTTAGTTTCATTTAAAACCCTTAAAGTTCCTCTAGGATGCTTTTATTTTCTTGTGATTTAGTGGGGGCAATAAGGAAATGAGGTAGCTTAGAAGAAATACCAGAAAGCAAAATTACAAGAAACAAAAGCACATATAAAACCTTCTCAGAAAAGGTCAGGAAATAATCTAAGTACAGCACATTATTCTAACTATATGAAGTCATAAAAGCATTATTAAAGAATAGGAAAGTGGAGAGGCAGATCAAATGTCTTTGTTAAATTTGTTAATACTGATTGAGTACATGTTTATCAAAATGTGTGCTGTTCTTTGTGCTTCTGTAAAGGTACTCTTCCTTCATGTCACACTGTGTGACACCAGATGAAGTATTTTGGGTGACTAGCTCTACTACTGGTAAGAAACCCACATGGATGTCTACTGATGACTTACAAGTCTGTGGTAAAAGCAGGAGGTCAACTAGGTGGCTTCTGCTGGCACAGAACAAAACAACTCTCTTGGACATTCTGGTTCTATCAGCTTCCCCATTGCACTCAAACCCAGAAAAGACAATCTAAAAAGCAGGATAGCTTGGGCTGGCATGCTGAGGCTGCCATTTTCTTTGTCCTGAGAACTGAAGAGGCCAAATGTGCTGGCAGTCCTGCATGTCACAGACCTCACCTACCCCTCAGCCCAGGAGGAGGAATATTCTGTGGAGAAGCCTGGGCCAGTACCAAACCACGGCGGGGAAATCTAAATGGGTCTGTTTATCACTTTCACTTTAGGTATAAACCTATGAGCTGTGAGGACGGAAGAATAAAAGGGCTTGAGATAAAAGGGAGGTATGGCACAAGCTGTAAAAGTAGGAACCTGAAAAAAAAATCTGTCTATTGACTTCTAACTGCTGTCACCCAACCTCCTCCCTCCCCAACCCCAGTCTCTGTCTCTCTCCCAAAAATGAATGGTGCTAAGCAATACCCTGACTTCTGGCTAGGGTGGGAAAGAATGAAGTTCAGATGTACAGGCCTGTGACCATGGGAACTGCAGTGATACAGGACAGAGTGACAGTAAATATCCTAGAGATGGTGGGAAGGGGACAGAGAATACCAACTGCATTTTTCCAACACTTTCTGAATAGAGACAGGGCAAACCATCCACTGGGCACAGTGTCTCAGACTTCCAGGGCATTTAACAAGCATTTGACTTAATTTTATTAGTAAAAATAATCCAAGTTTTAGATTAAAGGAATATTTTAATCCAAAATATGAATGCTGTCATTTTATACAAACACAATTATTAAATGAACATTTAAATTTTGTTTGGAAGGGGTCCAAGTTGGCCAAAGTGCTTGGGGCCTAAAAACCTCATGAACTGTGAGCACAGGGTCAAACCAACTCTAGAAATGGAGCTTCAGGCCACTAACAAGGACTGGAGAAGAATGGTTCGAGGGTAAATGATGGCCAAGGAGTTTTACCTTGCTGGTCTTGTTTCACTGATTTTGTTTTCTTGAGTATTATTTTTGAAGAAGACTAAATCTAATAAAGGAGTACTATTATTAATTTAATTTACCCAGGTCAGAACAGGAAACAAATTTAAGATCATTATTTTACAGTTATGTCCTCCAAAAAGACAGAAGTTGGGCTGAAGGGTCTCAGGAGTCTTCGGTCCTCCACTTCTGTAAACTGTTCTTTAGGAGCCTGCCCCCTTCGTTCCACACTCATCTGTGCTTCTTTAAAGGCCTTGGCTCCACCCTAACTATGGTCAAGAGGCCAAGGTTGGCAAGGTCAGCACTGGGGCCATCTGCAGCTGCCGAAGCATGTAGACACTATGACAAGAGAAAAGCAGCATGGAGAACGGATAAGAAACAACAGGAGACAAATGCTAAATCTGAATGTTCTAAATTTATGCTGTTAAAAACTGGTATAGAAAGCCAGGTGGTGGTAGTACATGCCTTTAATCCCAGTACTAGGAAGGCAGAGACAGGCAGATCTTTGAGTTGAGTTCAAGGCCAGCCTGGTCTACATTGTGAGTTCCTGGACAGTCAGGGCTACACAGAGAAACCCTGACTTGAAAAACCACCAAAAACAAAAGAACAAAAGACAAAAACAAACAAACAAAACCCCAAAAACACAACTGGTAAAGAATTCCTGTGTGAAGCATTTTCTGAACAGCAGGTTTGAGATACCCACACTTTGTATATACTTCTTTGTATTTAAAAAATATTTCATAAGATACATTATAAATGTATTACATAGTCAGAAAAATGGACACCTAATAGTTGCTTAAAAACTTGTGTTCTCAAGACCCTACACTCTAACTACTGCCATCTTTTAAGTCCTTACAATGTAGCCCCAGGGCAGTGAACATGGTTAAACATGAGCATGTGAAAAACCCAGATTTGACAAAGAACTTTTAGCAACTTAGCAACATTCTAGGGAAACACCAATCAAGAAAGTTAATCAACATCCACTCCTCTGTTCCAACAGCCTATGAAGAGCAGGTGAGGAGGAAGAAAGCACAAAAGAATGAATACTATTGACTTTCATAGTCTTCTGTGCTTGAAGAGACATCAAGTTCTAATATTCCGCTCTCTGAATTTCAATTAAAGAACCTAAATTTTAGACATGTGACTAGATCAAGGTCATATACCAAAGCTGATACAAATTCGCTTGACAGCTCAGGATTCCTGAATTTTTGCTTTGGAGTTCTTATACTTCCAAACTTCAAGGGAATTTTACAAAGTACATTTCATTGTTCATGTGAAATGTACACAGGGAAATGGAAAAACTACTAGTTTTCTTTTAAAAATACACATTAATTTGGGAACTGTACAATCTTAAAATGAAGCTCCAAAGAAGCAACCATAAAAAAAAAAAAAAAATCAACAGATAAAACCAGAGCTGGAATAACATTGGGAGGTTAGATTAGCCTGAGTTATACACAGGGACCTCAGCCTAAAGACAGCAAACTGTTTCTTCAAATCAGATTTAGGCCACTCCAGCCAGTGCTGCCCTCTTTTTTGGCTACAACTGAAACAACAACAAAGGCAAATTCTAAACTTGAACCTGATCAGTTTCAAGATAACAAAACTGTTAGCATTAAGAAGGCCTGGATGATGGGCAAACACCAGTTCTCCAGCTAACAGAAATAGTCACTAACTGCTCCTTTCCATGAAAAAGTCTATTTGCTTTTGTTTCTTATTTAGGAAGTATGAACTGGGTTAAATATGTAAGATGCTAGACAGCATCTCTTTGTTTCTAAAACATCAACAACTGATTTTAGCTTTATTGTTATTTGTCTCTTTCCCCTGACAGCAGGGGAAAAAGCTAGGTAGAGGGTTACATTACCAAGTCCAGTTAAATGACATTTTTTCCGCACTACTATAATTAGGCAGAGCTGGAGCTATTTCACTTGTGAAATCCATCTAAAATATTGAAATCACTGAGAATGTTGTACAGGGCTACACACTAAAACTGAAGCAAATACATGGGACTGAAAACTGGTTATTTTCCCCTTTGTTTTCTTGTCTGAATGTTTAAGGATACTCTCCTGCCCATGTTGGCACTCTATAGTACGGTGTTAGATATCTTAGTCAGTAGTCCTCAACCACATCAACTCATTCTACACATACCTCACCACCTGAACATATGGGAAGAAAATAAGTATTGCTAATGAGATAAGATGCCAAAATGAAAAAGAAAAGACTACTTCAGAAGTAAGAGTTCAACAGTCTACTGATCAAGCTGGACACACAGTAAGGTCGACCACTGCTCCAGCTTTCATAGGCTTACACTGCTCACTACAGACAGGAGTCTTGATTACCACTACATGAGAACCAGCCTCTCTCTCTTCCTTTTCGAATTATTATGTGGGAAAGGTTAGGATTTTATGCTTTAAAAGAAAAAATACTTCGTTATATTCTTTAAAATCTCAATTATTTACAGTAGCATGCCAAGATTAGAACAGAATCTTACTTTTAAATAGTTACATGAACAACTCCTTTGTACTGTTTTCTTCAGCCAGCCCATTTTCTTCCTTGCTTTTGTAATTGGAAAGGAACAAATTTTCTATCTGAGTCAAGAATTCCTCAGCGATGAAGCAATTGGCTACTTTGCTTAGTGTTTTCCTTAGACACTCCAAAAGCTAGTAGAAAAGAAGAATTTATATTTAAGTATTAAGAGGACTTGCATAACTGTCACAATTTCTTTTCAAACCTCAGTAATACTCAAATGAGAAACACTGTTCCTTCTCAACAACCTCAGCCTTGAACACTGGAATCACATTGAAGGTTAAGTTTAGCTCCTTTATAATTCCACAGGAAGCAAACATGTGCAAGCAATGCTTTTTACTTTGGACAAATCCACATGATTGTTGTCCCCTTTAGCAGTTACATTGACAGAGCCATCTCTAAAGACTTAAAAACAAACAACAAGAACAATGAAGCACGTAAAACTGTGGGTCTAGGATAAAGCACAGGGCCTGGTGACCATATCCAAGGCTCAAACTGAGTGCCAGCACCAAAACCAAACATGTAAGAAAGAGAAACACAGAGGGGGAAAAAAAAGAACTAAGTATATAGTCCTTGGCCAGTTTTCTTGGCGATGAACACATTAGTCCTTCAACAGTATATAGGAAAATGTAGCAAAAAGAACTAATATGTTTAGTTTTCAGAATATTATCAAATGACTAAAACAAAAATGTTGACACTCTATTCATCTTAACCAGAAGAGTGAGTGAGTGAGTGAGTGTGAGTGTGTGTGTGTGTGTGTGTGTGTGTGGTGGTGGTGGGGTCTAAACCATTACTTTCTAAATACAATGCTAGAGCAAAATGACTACTTAAACTTAAATTAGATTTATACTATATATTTTTTAAATGGCCAAATGTTATGATTAAAAGGGAAACATGGTGCTCATGAATTTTAAAGAAAGAGCAAAGGCTCTTTATTGTACACAATGGTAACCTACAAAGAAATATATCAGTAAATGCATTCTAAAATATTATTTCTACATATAAGTTTAGCCAATAGAACATGTTAATTTTACAAAGTAAATCAATAAAGGAAACAGAAAATGTATCCATAGAACAGCAGAAAACATATCAGGAACACCAGCTTTGGAATATGATAATCTAATAAAACCAATTTAAAATGAAGGCAGCTTACTTTCTGCAAACAAGTTAGGTCAGAATCCCGGCGAAAGATTCTATCCATGGGGACACTGCTGTAGGAAGAAATTTAGAAACCAATGAGACAGATACACAACTGGTTGCATAATAAAATGTCATCAATACTAGACATCAGGATTCTATATTTAATTTAGGCTTTGCTTTCTGATTCAATTTAATGAGAAAGACTGCAAATCTGGGGCCATCACAAAACCACAACACATACCTATGAGAAAACCTGTATTTTTCAATTATCCATCTTGTCTTTTCAAACACCAATTCCCACTGAGGTTCTTCTAACATCTGTTGTACTTCAAATTTGTAAGGTAAACCTAGAGAAGTGTAAAGAAGGACATTTTCATCAACTATTTCTCCAATCTCCTTTTCTGACAGTTCTATGAAAAGCACTGTGAAAGGCAGGATGGCATCTCACTTATCTTCCAAACCAAGAGATCTTTTAAGCTGAAAAGGGCAGTAACAGAAACAAACTGGTCTGTTTTCAGCAAAACAAGGCATGGTACCTCCTAGGATACAAGTCATCAAGCCCATGGTAATATAGCTGCATAGGCAGGCAGCATTCTTGAGAAAACTACCAGGAGTTCAGAATGCAGTTCTTCCCAGTGGCTGTCTCCTGGCTCTGCTAGTTTCTTCACAAACATGTGCAGTCTATACTTTGCTAACTACTTGAGGGGGTTATCTTCTAAAGCTCTCTGGAGTTCACTTTGAAATAATATGGCAGACTGTTCTCTGGTAACTTAGTTGCCTCAGGTCCAACACCTTCACTCAAGTTTGCCAAGACCTGGTTGTGTCTCTCTCTTCCTGGTATAGCAAACTGGGCTTAACTGATTGGTTTCCCATCTCTGAACAACCATCTTCCTTCAGAGCCTAAGTTATATCCTAAATAAAATACTACTCTATTGTATATTTTGCCTAGTATTTTGGTTGCTTCAAAAAAAAGTTCTTATTACTTCATTTTGCCTAGAAGCAGAATTACATATATTTTAAATTATTAAATTCCAATGAATTAAAATGTGAATAGTCACATGTTCCCAGTATTAACTAATTGTATTAGATATGATTGGAATAGAGGCTCATGACCAAAACACATACATCTGAGATCTGACTTCAAGTGCAGACAAGTTTATCGTGATGCTTTCTGTTATAACTTTTAGAAATTACAGTTAAGTTGAAGAATTATGTGTATTATATGCTGTACTCAGCAGGGCATTATGGATTACTACTGATATTATTCATTCAAAAAAACTCACAGTGCTCATTAGCTGGTACTAAGGATACAAAAACAGTAAATTGCATCAAAAGCCAAAGTGGCCATTAAGGCAGAAAAAGTACTGCAGATTTATTAAAACAAAAATAAATTAACAGTCAACTGTGCTGAGAAGATTTTACCAAGGACAGACAGGGAATCAAAGAAAGATGAAATTAATTAATAAGCAAACATTCATTTAGAATCCACTTTATTCCAGGTTCCGTGCTGGAAGCTGGATAGAAAAACGAGTAAGATACAGTATGTAGTGTCAAAGATGTCATGATTCAACAGGGAAGGGACCGTTGCAAATGTAGTTTACACAGAATTACACCCAGAAAAAAATCTGAGTCTCCAACCACTTCCTTACAAAGTCCCCTCCCTGCCTTTCATAGTCTGCTATATTAATTCTCATGTAGACAGATGACCAGAACAGTCACAAGGAGACATACAGAAGACACACATCCCAGAGAAACCAAGTTGGGTAGTTGGCTATGTCAAACTAATTCTTTCTTGAGACAGACGGGACGTGGGAGATCTGAAGTCAGTCTGCTTTGGGAACCCTAATACTCTGGGGGTAATGGAAAGCTGGGTTATTGTGAATGTTCAAATTAAAATATACGGGACTAGGATGATATAGGTTAATTTGACTCGGGGAGAAATCACCTACACGAGAAAGCGATAACCCAGGATCAATGCCCTATTGCTCTCTGTGACCAGACCAGAACCAGCTCGAGTGTCCCTCACCCCAGACCAAATCGCATGCGCTCAGGTACACACCTGTGACCATGCCCAAATGGACATGGTCAGTGCCGAAGGTGAGTCTGGTATCTTTCACTACAATTCCCTTTTAGTCTAAAGAAAAAGATTTAGACTTGATACACAACTATATGCAAAGATAGCAAATATCAAGTATGCAGGAGGAGCAGGAAAAGTAAAAACATACACCCTTAAGACCTATTGCCAGTGAAGCAACAAGAGCAAATGGCAAGAACTACAAGATATGGTTTTGTTTTTTCTTTATTTGCATGTCACGGCAGAGAAAGCAAGATTGCATTTATGAAAGTATCTTTCTGTGAACGGTGTTTTGTTTTCTACTATGTCTCCGGTGGCCAGTGTATACACACTTCTCTGCATGCAATGTTTCCAGTGCTCAGCATGTACACTGCCTGTGCAACACAATGTTTCCAGTGCTCATTAGATCCACTTCCTGCTCTAACATTTCTCCACATTTTCATCCTTTTATCTAAGGCCATGGTAACACTAGAATGAAAGGGAAGAGGGTGGTTTAGCTAGGTGGCATGCAATGAGTCCTTGGTTGATACACTTTCTCATCAAACAGTTTTACACAATTATAAGTTCTTTAACTTGAGGATAGGGATAGTAAGAAGCTATCATTGCTGAAACTTACGGTAGGTACCATCTGGGCTAACTTCTTCACTTATAACCAAGCAGGTAATCTGGGAATATGGTAAAGGATTACTTCGATTATATGGACTAACAATCATTCCAATGAACTTTGCTCCTCCTCTAGAGAAGTAAGTCTGCAATAAAAAGAAAAATATAATTATTTCAGCTCTCAAGGCTCTAACTGATAGTTAATTGGAGGAAAGAAAACAAAAAAGGGGCCCTATCCAAACAACGGCAACTGAATGAAATGCCTATGCACTCATTTCAGGTCCAAACTGTTCACCTTCATCAGGAAATGATCCTTACAAATGCATACATCATGGCTGAGGACAGCATACTAAGTATGCAAGCAGGAGGACCACTTTTCACCTATCCAGAACCCACATAATAAGCCTGCGGTAATCAGTTATATTGTAACTTGCAGCCTAAGTACTGAGGAAAGGGATGGGAAGACAGGACAGGAGGGTACTAGCTGGGTACCTCGGCCTCGCTACAGGTTCAGTGAGAAATCCCATCGCAATGGAATAAAATGGACAGGGACATAACAGGACTCTCAGTGTTCTTCTCCGGTTCATGTGCAAACACACAGGAGTGCACACCTCCCCTCACAAACACACACACACACAGAATTAAAAACAAGAAGACAACAGAAATGCCATATATGTGGGTGATACAGATCTATCTCAGTACTCAAGAGGCTGAGACAGGAGAGTGGAGAATTATCACAAGTTCCATGCCAGTCTGGGCCCACAGAGTAAGAGTCTTTGTCAAACAAAACAAAATACATACTACAAACAAATGTGTGGTACATATTGTAATGTCAAATCACTTGACTGTAATTCTTATTAACAAGGCAATAACTTACTATCTACATAGAAAAAATTAGCTATCTACATAGAAAATACACATCAAACCTAACACTAAGTAAAAATACAACTTGTTTTTACAAAGAGATATACCAATACTTTCAACTACTATAATTATAACAAGTCTTGCTCTACTTCCTGTCAGTTTGTAAGGGCTTGAGGAGCTTGTCCATAGAAAAAAACAAACAAACAACCACCAGAAGAAAACAAAAATAAAAAATCCTCAAACCTGTCTATAACCTGTTGACCTTCCAAATGTTTACTGATGTGATTGGAGGGAAAGCAAGTTATTTCAGAACTGCAGATGTAAAGACTGTTAGTGTAAAGCTAAAATTAATAGATGTTTAATTTCACAGAAACCAACAGGAGGATATGTAATAGTTTACAAAATGTAGGCAAATAACACTATCAACACACCTGGTATTTGGCTTGTGTGTCAATGTCTCGTAAAGACGGATTAGGATCAAATGCAGGATGAGAATGGTACCACCCAATAACACTGTAGCCTCTAAGAGCCAAGGTTTCTGAGGCCTGTGTTTGTGATACAGGATCCATCTCACATTGCAGTCCTGTACTCAGACTGTTACACGGTTCTGCTGCACAGACCTGTAAAGGATTTGTACATACCTGATTATAGTGAAATCCTATCTAGTCTATCACTTGCCAAATAAACTCCAAAAGTGTGACTATAGGCTATGAACTTAGGTAGCATTTTTCTAATCTAAAAGGCACAATAATTGGTATTTTTCCACCTACACAAAGACATTTTCAACAATTCCTATACATATGGAAGGAATTTTAGTAGAATGATGTATGGCAGCATTTACCCACAAGCACTAGAATATATTACTGCTCTTAGTTATAGCTTTTCACTGGTGAAGGTAGAGGGCAGCCAATGCTGGCAGAATCCTCTCCTTCTTGACAGGAAACAGATACTCAGTAAATGGAATGCGAAGTCACTTCTGAATACATAACTTTCTATACTTGTATACTCTCACACATACAGATAAAATCAGTATTCTAATTATACTTTCTGATTTCCAAAATATATTTGGAATGGCAGCAAGACTTGGTAACTAAAATGTTTGAAAAAGAAGACTTACTTCAACTGTCTTCTCAGACTCTGAGAATCTTCCTCCTAATAGCCCAATCACCTCCGCCATAGACACGTGAGCATGCTACAAGGGAAGAGGACAGACTCAGACCAAATCCACACCCACACGGCAGTCAAGAGTGCTGCCAGTGCTCTGAGTAGAGGCACTTGTTAAGTTGCACTGGCTGACAGCAGGGAGCTGGCCATTGGACTCAGTCCCTTCCTGCTGCCTATGAACCTCTGAAGCACACAGTAGATGAAACTTGTTCACTTAAAAGAACATATCATTTGCATTTAAAGGGCACACAGTAAGTCACTCTAGAACCTTTTGTAGGAAACGACCTCACACACAAACTGTTAGAGGGTCTGGATGCAGTAAAGTACACACAGGGAGCCTCTGCAGTTTAGATGCAGTGGAGTGTTAGTCATCTACCAGGCAGCAGAAATGGGATATTAGAAAATGGTAAGAGGTTAATGATGGTAGACAATCTTCAAAATTCACATAAATTTTTCTTTTCTAAAATATGAAAACATACAGATGTCTGGCTTTCCTTCAAAAGAAATTACTTCCTTATAAAGAAAGTAGTTAAAATCTGAAATAGAAATCTTCTACTTTCTCTTACGTCTACAAAAAATGAATTAAGGAAATATAAGAGCAGAAACCAGAATAACTAAGTAAGGTTTAATAGGTTACCCTTACCAAATCCATTATTAAAAGTGCTTCTGAAGCCACTTTCACCTGAAACGGCTCCTGAAATATAAAAAGAAAAGGAGAGAATAAAAACAGAGATTTTTGTTCTCCCCAGTTGGAATATCCACCCCACCAAGTTCTCAACATTAGTCAAAATTCAGTACAAATGAAACTTAAAAACAACTAAACTTCAAAGGCCCAGCAGAAAAACTGCTCTTCCCTCTCATCTCCTGCCTGAACTGTTCACCCGATCCTAACTATACCCTGCCATGTCCAATACACATGCCTCACATCCACAGGTAAAGAGTAAGTATTTCCTGTCTGATGGGGCATTACTGGTGACTACTCACTGATAACAAGTACCTGCTTTTCTTCATTGAAAAAATTACAAGGTATCAGTTGGAAGGGATCAAGTGAGCTGAAAAAGAAAAAAAAATTACTAATTTGAAAATTAGCAATAATATAAACCCAAACTTTTGCCTGTATGAAAAAACATTAGAGAAGGAGAATCCCTTACAAGGAGCTCTACACATTCTTTTAGATCTGACAGAAAAACGGGATCTGGACAAAGTAGCTCTGCTGTTTTATTTCGTTCTAGCACCTGAAGGAGCTGGTAAGCAGACACAACTCTTCAACTAAAAGGAGATCAACAGTTTAGAGAAACAACTATTTCCCTGACATGGGACTTGACAGAAGTTCAAGTAAGGAGTTTCTCAAAAAAACAGCTTGTCAGGTGAAGTGCTGCAATGTATGCCTTTAACCCTACTACTCAGGAGGCAGGGGCCAGCCCGGTCTACATAGTGAGCTCTAGGCCAACCAGAGATACATTCTGAGAGTCTGTCTCAAAAGAAACACACTCACACCAACACGTGTCAGTACAGATCCACTACAATGGGGATCTATTATTGAATACTCTTTAAATTAAGGAGTAACTAACAAGTCTATAAAACAATTAAAGCAAAAAAAAAGCCCTGTGATATTATTTTTAAAAGCAGATAGAGAGGGGAAATCTAAGCAAGGCCAGATACAAAAGCATGTGAAAACAGAAAAAAATATTAAGAAATTGAGTTTTGAAAATAGCAGAACAATTTTTAAAATTTATTACTATTTTTAGGTTTATAAAATTTTACTTTATGTGCATCAGTGTTTTGCCTGAATATTATATATACCATATGTGTGCCTGGTACCCATGATTGTTCAAAGAGGATGTCAGATCCCTTGGAAGCAGAGTTATGGATGACTATGAGCCACCATATACATGCTGGGAACTGAACCTAGGTCCTTTGCAAGAGTAGCAAGTGCTCCTAATCACTGTGCTGTATCTCTAGGTACTGGGACAAATGTTTATAGAAAGAATAGCAATCACAAACGTTTCTATTAAGACAACTTGGAAAGAGTAGCATGCTGAACTCCCATCTGACAAAAGAGTCTGTGAGGTATTTTGTTTTATTAGGTTTGTGCCCCAGGGCCCAAAGACATACAGAAATTTAAAAAACTGAATAAAGAAGGTCTTTAAATTAACTGAATAAAAAGGAAGGTGAGTGAGATGGGACATGCTTGTAATCCTAGCACTTGAGAGGTAGAAGGAGGAGGATTAGTGGTTTAAAGTCATCCTCAGATTAAAACTGCATGTGTGTGTCTGTGTGTACGTGTGCACACACGAGGGAAAAGAAAACTCTTTTACCTCGTTTATATTATACAACGTATCTAATGGAGCTACTGGGTATTTTTTCATATATATTTTCTAACCATGTGTGATAAGTTAAGAAAATACTGTACCTTTTTGTTAATTTTGAAACTTTTGAAGATTTAGTAGGTTTGCACTTTTCCTCTTCTCTTCTTTTTGCCAATTCCTCTGCAGACAGATGCTAAAACAAAACAGCCAATCAAAGGGTTCATCAGCTACTCAAGCAGAATAAATAAAACAGTTAAGGATATGTGAGAACAAGAATGACCAAGTCAGTATACATTGTTTCCTTGCTACTAGTAAATACTGGGCAATAACCTTTAAAACTATGTCAAAATATATACACTTATCAAAATGTAAATATATTTCTTCTCCTGACTTGCCTACTTCAAAGGTATCAGTCATTAAGTTTCAAACACCTCCAAGTCTTTATTTCTCATTTCTAGTTTCCAGTGCTCAGGCGGCTGAATTTTCTTTTACAACTCATGACACCACAGTGTAATGATCAAAAATGCTGATTCTAATGGCTGAGGTGGTAGTTTGGTGGTAAAGTAGTAATTTGTCTAGCATGCATGAGGATCTGGTTTCATCTCTGGCACCAAGAGAGTGGGATGCCTCAACATCATACAATTCTGGAGCAGAAATGTATAGCTCTATTCATTATCAGGTGAGAGGCCATTGCTGAGCTCTGCAGCTTCCATACTTCAGAGTCAACAAATAACAGCAGCAATAAGTGTCATAGCATGCTGTGAAGTTAAACATTAATGTTCATAACCTAGTGGTTTCCACTACCACCCCTACACTCTAATTAAACAGACTATGCACCTTTTCCAGAGTATTAGTGTTTTCCTGTATCTGTCCTTTGCTTGTGCAATTCCCTCAGCCTAGAATGCTTCCATCTACATTTTGAGATGATTCTTCTGATCCTTTGCTTCAAACTCTTTCCTCATCACACTCTTTGGGAGTACCTCATATCCTTAGACAAACCTTATGGGGAGGAACCATGTATTACTTATTAATATGCCAACAAGAGTACTAGGAGTAAGGTTAGGGACAGGAAAGGGGCATGAGAAAGATAACATTTATTGAGTACCTTGTCCAAGCGGGCTTACTGAATGACTAATACTAGGACCTTAATATATTTCATCTCATTCTTTTAAAATCCTTTCAGAAACCTATTATCCATACTTCATAAATTAAAATTTGAGATTTAGTACAGTTAAGTACCTACTTGAGATAACAAAGCTAATAAATATACATTTATACCTTCTTTCCACTAATTGTCTACACACTATTTATGTGAATACATGTATGTGTGTGTGTGTATATGCACAATATTTGCTGCCTATGTTTCCTTTCAGGGTCCCAATTTTTATTAGAGGAAATAACATTTCAATATTTACAATTCAATATGCCTAATGTTTTGAACAGTATTTTATGTTTAGAATGGTATTTTAACTGGTTTAACAAACATCACTTAAAGGAACATTATTTAATGAAATAAATAGGGCATACCAACTGCTCAGTCTGGCTCTTATTCTTGATTTAGAGATAATATTGTGGAGATAGAGAATCAAAGTTCTGAGTGAAAATCAGACTCCTAGGTAACTGTACCACTGAGACCTCTGGTTTGGTTAATGGTAACTCTTCAATAAACTAACATGGGAACAAGAACAGACGCTTCAACAATGAAATCAGTGTAATATATAGGAATTTAAATGATGAGACAGTTTTCAAGGATAAGCCACAAATAAGGTCAAAATTACCTCAAATGTTTGCCCTTCTAAGTCTTTTGCATCACACCAGTTTCCCCATGGATCTCGGACTCTACGTCTCCTTGTACGCTATATTAAGAAAAAAATAAAGGCAAAATTTAACAAAATTAACCTGGCAAAATCTTTAACGAATGAACACACAAAACTTAAACACAATCTAAAACTCTATTATTTACATATTTTAATGTCTGATCATCAACTCCCTAAACTGTATTCTATTGATCATGTGTAATAGGTAATAGTCAGTTCTCTGCTTAGAGACACTCAAGTGACTTTTCTTTTCTTTTTTTTTTTGATTTTTGGAGACAGGGTTTCTCTGTGTAGCTTGGGAGCCTATCCTGGAACACTCTCTGTAGACTAGGCTGGCCTCAAACTCCCAGAAATCCACCTGCTTCTGACTCCCAAGTGCAGGGATTAAAGGTGTGTGCCACCACTACCCGGCCCTCAACTGACTTCTTGTGGGCGCTAAAAATAGTAGCCAGGTAGGAACTAGGTGGTGGTATCAAGGAACTACTTTTAAAAAACATGGCACTGATGACTTTCTGCATTTTACTTGAATTCTTCATTTTCCTTTTCATTACCATTTAGGAGCTAAAATATCAAGATAAAAAACTGTTAAGACTAGAAAGACACACCAAAAAAACAGATTTGCTTCAAATTATCTGTGTTAGAAAAGAACGCACAGCAAAGGTATAGTGAAAATAGAAGCAATGATTAACCCAGGTTTAGAAAGGCCACTGCCAAGTTAATGCAAACAGTAAAAACCTACAAAAGGTGTGAAAGCTATGCCTCAACTAGTTTTGCAAACATTGTATCTGAGGTTTTTAAAATGGGCCAGCTGCCAAATAGAGGTATAACTTGTATGATCAAAGATCCACTTGAAAACAGCCTTTCTTAAGACAGAAAATTCAGGTAGAAATTGTTCATGCCCAAAATAGTTTGAGAATTATTTTACTTGTCACCAATTTAATGTGAAACTAATGAGATCTTATTATATTTTGCCATATAGGACACTTACTGGATAACTGGTGTTTTGTTTTTGAGACAGTCTCACTGTGGAGACCATGCTGGCCTTGAACTCACTGAGATCTGCCTGTCTGTACCTTCTGAATGCTGAGGTTAAATGCATGTGCCACCACACTCAGATGGTGTATGTGTGTTGCTGTGTTTTTTTTTTTTTTTCTTAATGTTTATGGGTGTTTTGTGTACATGTATGTCTAAGCACTACATGCATGCCAGATGACCAGGAGGCCAGTAGAGGGTGTCAAATCTTCTGGAACTAGAGTTACAAACTCTTGTGGTCTGCATGATGTACATAATGGGAACTGAACTTGGGTCTTCTGCAAGAGCAACAGATGCTCTTAACCGCTGAGCCATCTCTCTAGCACACAACATGTTAAGTTTACAAATCAAAACCAAGTACCCAAGGCCAATTTAGTAGCAGATATTTCTACAGACTCTGACAGTGAACTTGAAGGGTTTTACAGTTTGTTTGTTTTTTGTATCATACACAATAGGAAAGCATAAAATTAAATAGCTAAGGTGAAATACAAGAGAAAACATATTCTTCCACTCAATAGCCATTTGTTTAGTAAAACAGTTGCTTACCATAGACTGTAGGCGGCAGGCAAGCTGGTATGCTGCTGCTTCTGCATCTTTTCTGTCACTCACTCGTACTTTATCAACTGGCTGTGGCCTGTTATATATTGCCTGCTCTGTTGGAATTCAGGAAAGATAAAAAATCTATTATTCTGCGGAATCTGTTCAACGGGAAGATATACTATACTGACTACAGCTGAGCTCCCGTGATTCTTATCCCGCAATTATACATTTGATGTGCCACTTAGCTTTCAAATAAAAAAGCTGTTAAAAAAATGGCAGCTCAATAATAGCAATTATGAAGAAGCGAGTAATCTGTATAACTTCTGGTTAAATGAGTGCTGAGCCCACTTTGTTGACTTTGGCAGTTTAGTACATAAAACTATGTCTTGTCTGTGGCTGCAGCTAAAATAACTCAGTTTCACAAATAGCTCATTTCTACACAGAGCTTGGGGCACAAATGCCACATACATGGAAGAGGAACCCTAAGGCAGACTGCCCATTCTCAATACACAAAAGCGAAATCACCTATCAGAGGCTTTCTGGTTAGCTCTCTCGCTCACCTCCCAAACCAGGGGTGGTAAAGTTCTGGTTCCTTATCACTACCTGTACCCATCACCATTAACTTTTTCAGAGCTTGTCATGTGAATTCAGTGATCAGGAAGGATTCGTTCTGACATATCCCTTCTCATTAACTTTGAATCAAAAAAATATATATATCAAGACTGAAAGACTTTCACTAATTAAAAAATTTTTGTGTGTGCATGTGTACACATGTGCAGGTGCATGCATGTTGAAGTCATAAGGCAACTTGTTGGAGTTGGTTCTCTCCTACTAAGTACATCCCAGTGATCAAACTCAAGTCTCAGGCTTAGGGACAAATGCCACTGAGTACCTCACCAGCCTTGTTAAAATACTTTTGTACTTTTATTAGATTTAAACATGTAAGTTTGTAAGTTACTGCCTTTATTTAATCATTGCTAGAAAGCATCTCTAGCAGGAATATAGTATAAGGTAACACTTCAAATTTCAGATTTTGTTGGATCTTGGAATATGTGCAGAAAAATGCTCGCAACATCTAAACCTTTTTAACAGCCATGCTCATCTCAGCTTCTATCTTTTTAAGTATAGGCTATTCTTAGACTTCTCATAAATTTACTTTTACTTGACAAAGAATTGTTAAAATATTTCTATTATGTAGATAAAATATTTTTCTTTAAAATTATATCTTCAAAGGGATACAGTTTAATTAGCAGAAATCTGTTTAACATCAAATCTTAATGACACACTTATTTCATAATGTTACACTCTTTCTCTGAATTCCATATACTTAAATCTACTTGAATTTGAACCATCATAAAAATTAATCGGTGCTATAAGGATAAAAAATGCCAAGTAAAAGATGTTGTTGGGTTTTTATTTTTACCACATCCAAAATTGATTGCTCCTATCAACTCGAGGTATGTATGAATCCGTCCAATACAATTAACATCCCCACAGTTCTTCAGGCCAGGACGTACTGAGGTCTTATTTAAGTATTTCGGTTTGCATATTTCCCTAATTAAGAGATGGAAGTACAATTATTTTGGATGAATAGAAACATTTTAAAAAGGATTTCTGGGGAAAACTTTTAATATATGAAGTATCTTAAAATTTTACCCTCACTCAATGCCTAATTGTGTAACAAATAAACACCCAAGTGTCCTTTTTTCCCCACAAGTATCTTTAAACAATGTGACAACTTACAAGTACCTGTAATGGAAGTGTGATTGTGTTACAAATATTCTTCCCCCATACTAAGCCCCATAGATCCCAGGATCCCCCAACCTTGAAATTAGCAGCTTACTTTGTACAGAACCAAATTCCTACCAACATCTGTGAATAAAAAAAGCACTTTGGGAATTAAGAAGATTTAGTATTGAGATCGTCTTCCTACTTTTCCTTTTTTTATAATACAGTCCTCATGCTCTAGGCAACTGTTGTAACCCTGAGTTACACTCTCTGTCCCAAGGCTTTCTCAGCTCTGCCAATGCTGTTAATTAATTCTCAAAAAGCTTTACATATTGTATATTCATTTTTAATTATAATAAGCACTTAGTCTCAAAAGAAAACAGATATAAGTATTCTAAGGATTTCCAAAGGAATTAAAAAACTCCCAATGAAATTACAGATTCATATAATAATTATTTATTTGCTTAATGTTCTCTGCTAGAAAGCACAATATAATATTTAACAGGAACTTCATAATAATAGAAATAAATCAATTACTGATTATGCCAAATGCTGTACTGTTAGCTACCCATGCTCAGCCTTCCTAATTCTAAGAGCAAGGTTTTACCAATCCCATCTTAGAAAGGAGCAAACAACCTGGCCAGCACCTCGTTACTTAAGGAAGTGGTAAGATCAAGATGCAGACACTGACCCAAGGTTAAATGACAGCACAGATACTACTTAGTCACATTTTATTCTATAAGTACTTGTGTCCCGTGTCCCAGACACTGTTCTAGGAACAAGGGTTTGAGAGGTGAATAATAGAAAATTCCTACTTTCAAAGGTCTTAAATACCAATGGAGACTATCAATAATAAACAAATAACAGTGATAAAAAGAAAAAGAAGCCTAAGTGGATTGATAAATGGATATAGGACTACAAACAGGCACAGACTACTTTAGACAGGATGCTTATAGAAAGCCTCCCTAAACAGACAAAATTTAAGTCCTTAAATCTGTGAAGTTCATACAACAGGAAAATAATTGTGATAGAGGACAATGTTGTAACTTCTACAAAAAAGCTGGCATCCCAGTGTGCCACGAAAAAAGCAAACAAACTAACAAACAAAGACAGGAGCCTGAAAACTGCCTTCTTCAGCCAAAAGGCGTTGCCAGAAAGTCAACAGTCTTGCTCATAGCTTAAACAGCAAACATTTCTGTTCAGCAAAGACATCCAATCCTCTTCCCCTAACACCTGGAATGCCCATGGTAAGCACTGCCTTAAGCAGAGCGCACTCAATGAATAAAAAAGAACCATCTTCACACTGGCTGCATCCTTGAGGGATTAGGGTAGAAGACAATTGACAAAACTGTAGCCTTTTTAGTGGCAGTAAGCAGTGTGACAAAAACAAATACAGGATGCCAGAACAGACAGGAGCATGACCACAGATCTCCCCCTATGGAGTCAAAGAACCGTCACAGTACACTCTGAAGGAAGAGAAGCTAAGGCTGGAGTTCAGCTTTTTAAACACTAAATCAACACAGAAACTGAAATCGCTTCACCCCTTGTGTGACCTGGAATCAGGTTCTCATCCTCTGTGAACCTCATTTCTTCATTTGTAAAGACTACCAAGAAAACTGAAGATGATTTAAATATAATGCATGGCATGTGGCATAATATCTGTGTTAATAGCTGGTTAACACTTCAATAAAAACTTCTCCTAAATAAAACCAATTGCACCTGCTCTCCTGGACAAGAAAGGTCAAGTAGGTCTCTTTATTTTCAAAACTTTTCCTTTCCTTTTTTAAAGTATTACCTGTATTCTGTTTTGTACTTTATGCCTTTCTCTTTAAAAACATTTCTTCTGCTTTTACACTTTTCTATTAGATCAGAAACTGTAAACATACATACATTTAAAAACTGTATGTAAACAAATACCAAATAGGCTTTGTGTACTAAGGTAAAGGATTAGGAAACTACTGCCATATAATTTATACCACCTATGTAATTTATCCTGCTAATTTAAAATTCAAAATTCAATGTAACAAATAAAATTTTTAAAAAATAACATTAATTATGCACAAGCTGTGGCATTTCTGAGGTAGAAACTGTTTTGAAGGCCTTCAATTATGGCTATCCATCCTTTTATTTTCAAAACCAAACCAAAGTATGAACAGAGATCTAATTTAATTAGCATTTAAAAACTGTCTATAAGGCAACGTGGAATAACAGAATGGGGTCAGTGGCTGGTTGAAAGATCAAAGGCAGGTACCCTAACCTCTATTTGAGAATTGTGCTAATCTGTTTCAAATGGCAAAGATCCCATTTGCCTATTCACAGGACTGTTGTGAAGACTCAGATGAGGAGATACAGTGCAGCTTTCTGTAAACCACAAAGCACTACATAAATGTCAATTGTTTCTCTTAAGTATTCCTTACTCTAATGACATCTATAGCCAGAGGACGATTCTCTATCGATTTCATCAGGGAAAGATCACTGTTTTATCAGTGCAAATACACTTTAGGATATGGCTGTTTTTAAAAGCCAAGTAAGTCAATGTTATCTGAGTGAAATGAGAGCTATTTAACAGGGCACACAGCAATCTTCAGTAGCATTTCTAGGTTCTAGCAGAAAGTCATTGTGACAGGACAGGAAAACTCTGACAGAAGAAAAATAAAGGATAACATAGAATCCCCACGCAAAGAATAGGGAAGCTCTCTAAAACATTAGTAGCAACTATGGATTGCTATCAGAGGCTTAATAAGCTACCATGAACAAGTTTAGTTACTTTCAGTGTATTTAGGTTAATACAGACTAAGGTCTTTTGGTTTAATAATTGAGCTCATTCCACATTGAAAGTTGCAAGCACTGAAGAGTTAATTCTGAGAACAGTCTAATGACTCCCCTGTCTCTAGGTCTGTCCTCCTTTATACTCAAGTACATATGAAAACTGGAAATTCTCTCCTTTCCCAGGACAGTAGTGTTTTATAGTTATAGCCTCCCAACACTGCCACAAGAAACTGCTTCCCCCCAAATGGTCATCCCCTTTTTCTCATGGTCACACAGGACAGGACAGATGTGTTATGACAGCAAGGGATGCTTACCAAAGTTTTAAAGAGGTTCACTATGAGAAACTTTAAATCTTGACTACTGAAGGAGGACATGTGAAAGCTCTTTGGATCTCTAGAAAATCCTTGATTCTGCATGGGCCTAACCAATATACTTCAGAGTATCAAGTTTTTAGAACATGTGCAATGTAATTCTTACCACTGATCCAAAATGTAATTTCTAATTTTCAAATAGCGTTCTGGTGTTTTAGTTTGACGCCCCTCAAAAAATTCAGGAATTGCTTGCTTTTCTTCTTCTTGAATGATATTTCTATCTATTTCCACTTCTTGCTCTGGTGGCTTAAGCTCTTCTGCCTCATGGTTTTCCTCCTCCATCTGAAAAGGAGGCAAAAGCATTTCGCTTCCACTTGAATCCTGCTGACTCTCATAGGACTCTGGAGAAGGTGAGTGCTTCGCTTCATCTGTTATTTCTTTTCCAACTTGCACATCAGACTCTTCAACTAGTTTGCTGGACTTCTCACTAAATTCAACTGAGTTTTTGCCATTATTGCTCTGTTGTATAGCCCCCAATGTAATTTCTGAGCTTGAGCATGCTTCTGCTTCACTCTGCTCCACATTCTGAAGATACTCCCCAGAAGATTTAGCTAACATGCCTTTTGAGCATATGAATTCTCCTTGGTTGGCTTTACAAGTTTTACTATTGGGAATGTCTAAAGTAAGATGGCTGCCAGAATTCTTTTGTGGCGATTGAGAAGTCAACTCATCCAGTTCGTCTGTGATGTCTACGTCTTCATCATCAGATAACTTTTCAATTTTTACAGCATTCAAGTTAGGATCAGCACGCCCCCTTAAACATGATGCTGCCCAAACCTTTGTCCTTTCATCTTTATTTTTAACCTGAAGATCACTGCTGCTCTTCTGAGTTGGTGTTTCTTTCTGCACACCCCACTTTACCTTTTTAAGAATCAAAAAAGCATTCACATAATATTAAGATTTGAAATTTAATCACTTAGATAAAATATTTTTAAACTAAGTACATATTAACAGCCATCATATCTTCACTTGCTTTTTAAAAATCTCACAGAATTTCTACATAGTTAGAAAAGCCATTCTGAAGCCATGAAGTTTCACAATGGATTTTACATTTTCACTATTGAATATACTTTGATGCACTTATCCACTACCAAAAATGAAACCTCCTTGACACTGACAAAGTTAGAACTAAAAAAGCAATTAGCTTTTTGTTTGTTTGTTTGTTTTTTGTTTTTCAAGACAGGGTTTCTTTGGGTAGCCCTGGCTGTCCAGAACTCAATCTGTAGACCAGGCTGGCCTCAAACTCAGAGAACTCAGAGATCCACCTGCCTCTGCCTCCTGAGTATTAGGTTTAAAGGTGTGTGCCACCACTGCCTGGCAACAATTAATTTTGTATCTTCTTTCATACCTCGTGTCCATCGTCTGCACTCAGTCTGTCCTTATCCCCTAATCATCCCCTAATATTTAGCCTTTCTTGTGCTCTTTTTAACATGTTATACTGCACTCATGCATACGCTTGCTTACATATATACATATATACATATATTACTGACTAGATCCCACATATGAGAGAGAACACCCAGTTTTCTGGGATAGAAAATACATATTTTTTTAAGCAAAACCATACTACTCTATCCATCTTCCTATGAATTTTGTAATTTCATTTTTCTTTAAAGCTAGATAATATTCATTACACACATACACACACACCCCAAAGTTTCATTATCCAGTCATAGACTGATTCCAATTTTCTTACTATATTGAATAAAGCAATCTAGCAGAAGACATTATTTACATTAGAAAAAAAAAATCTCAGTTAAGGCACTTCCAAATTTCACATCATTATCCTCCTAGATCTCAAAGAAACACAGTTAGAAATTCTAAGTATCAAAACTCTACAACTGGGGCTGGAGAGCTGGCTCAGCAGTTAAAGAGCACTGGCTGCTTTTCTAGAGGATCTGGGACCGGTTTCAGAACCCACATGGAGGCTCACAGCCATCTGTAACTCCAGTTAGAGGATCCAAGGCTCTCCTTCTGGCCTCTGGGGGCACTGTATACACTATGGTGTACGCACACATATGTACGCAAAACACCCATACATATAAAATTTAAAAACCTAGTTTTTAAAGAAAATGTACACAGCTAAATACAGAACAATTGAAAAATTGTTGAAAAATTAAGAACTAGATCATGACTACTTCTTTCTGAAGAAGGTTGTCAATATTTTCAGGCAGTTCTTTATAATAATAAAAAAAAGTCTGTCTTTAGACAGATTTCTAGCCATGTTAGTTAACATTTATATCCCCTAAACTCCAAGTATTTCCACAAGTTTCTTCTACAGTGCAAATATTTATAAAAGAATAGGTATCTTCCAGAGGTAATGTTAGGCTGCTGAGCACTTCTTTCTAGGAATACCATTTGCTGTAGACTGTCTAAGTTCTGCTCTACTTGACAGCAACCCTCAGAACAATGGGGAGGTGTGGAGCACTGAACATGCACCAGAAGCCACGAGAGTGTGGAGCTGCATTCTGAGTCACCCATCAGAAGTTGCAGACAGGACATGGCTGCTCCGAGGTATTTTAAAATATTAAAAAACAAAAAGCAAACAAACAAACAAAATCCACTGGCCAGACAGAGGACTTAGTAAGGCAAGCTTGACAACATCAGTTCAATCTCTAGTGTCCACATCATGGAAGAAGAGAACTTATTCCCACAAGTTGTCCTTTGACCTCCACGGTCCTGCCATAGCACACATGCATGGTCCCATACACACATAGAATAAACGTTATCAACTTTTTAAAGATCCAAAACACATGTTGTAAGTATACACTACTTTAGCTATAGTAAGTCTTAACAATAAGACCACTTAGCTGAAGATGATGATGCATGCCTACAATCTCAGCATTCAGGAAGACTGTCATATCATTCTAGGCCAGCTGGGGCTATACAGTAAAATCCTGTGTCAAAAACAAACAAACAACCCCCCCAAAACACCCAAAGCAATCCAGAATATACTTACTGTCTGTCCTGAGTATTTGTGCTCAGTAACTTTATCCAAAACTTTATTATTATTTAGGATATCTGTACTCTGCTTACCTTATTTTTAAAGTATTGTCTGGCATAACTCTTCACTTGCAAAACTGTGCGACTTTCAACTAGTGTTGCGATTTTGGTCCATCTTCGGCCAAATTTAGCCTGTTATTAAAATGGAAACAAATTTGCTTTGAAGTACATTACTTTGTAATACTTCAAACAGTTGCCACAAAATGAAACCTGATCTGTTAGACTATGCTCTTAAAAACCAAAGCCCATATTTCTTTGTTCAGTTCTGAAAACTAAACAAAATGACTTACAACAGCCCAAAAAAGAAAGTTAGGTGACATTTTTAAATTTTTCTTAAAGAATCAACTGGACACATTAGCTACTAGTTGCAACTTTTAAACTCAAACTTTATACTTCCTACAGTGCCTTTTAAGTATCCTATAGCAAACACTCTACACTGGGTGCACAGTGAAATGAGGGTATACAGTGCAATGACTTTCAAGATTCAATGACAAATGAAGAAGACCTACAACCAAAAACTCCCTTCTGGGGTCAAAGGCTGTGCCCTACCCTGGGTGTTCCCATGGACATTTCATGTGCAAAAGAGAATATACACAATTCTAGCTATACAAAGGACATTGAGACACTAAGTCTAAACTTTAGTATATAAATCTTCACTAACACAAGATGGTATTTTGCACAGTAGATCAACAACATATCACCCCCTTTTTAAGAATTTAAAATGAAACAAAAACAAAGCTAAAACCAACTAAATACAGCCCAAAAAAACCTCCCCAGATTCAGATCTACAGACCAAGTAGACATGTCCTGTGATAGTAAAATATCTTTAAAGATCTAACCCAAATGATAAAGCCCAACTTATATGCTTATTTCTGTTACCCAGATGGGCAATATGTTAAAACTCAAAGCACTTCTGGGAAAACTTATAAATTACTTAAGAGTAACACCCAGCTAGTATTAACCAACTGAAGCATCGGTTCTTTTTACTGTGAAGGCCAATGACTTGGTATTATGAAACGCATTCAGAGACAGCAGGGACCAAGGTAAATTGAGATCTTTTAGGATAACAGGGTTTGAACCCTAAGAAAATAAAAGGTGACACTAGCAAGAGGAGCACAGAAAATATCCACCAGTTTCAAAGAGCAGGAAAGATATAGCCCCACACTAAAGAAACAGAAGGAATAAAATATTGCCTCATCATCAGCATTCCACTGCATTCCTTCCCAAGCCTGAGAGAAACTGTATCAATAGATAATAGAGGGCAACACAGCAATTGCCCAATAAATCAAAGCATTCCTTCTGTAGGAAAACATTCTGTTTAAAATGATCTGTGTACAAATTTCTATGTGTCTATATAAATAAATTCTCATCTGCTGATATATGGACCAAACATCCCTAGGATATTCAAAAAAGAGCTACCTCAGAAATGAAAGTGAGGCTTATTACCCGATAATTTTAGGTGTGAGTTCTGAATACACAAATGGGTCTCCATAGCCATCACTATTGTCAACAATAAAAACAAAAGCAGAATCTTACGTTCACAAACCACTCGCTAATATCAGCATATGCACATTTAGTCTCCGATAAGGGGCAAACATAGAAGTTATCCCTCGTAAATAAATTATCATTATTAGATTGTCATACAACAGATAAATAGCCAATATAACTATCATCAGTACAGAAAAAATAGAAAAAAACGCTCCAGATATTTATGTATTTGTATTGAAACACCATAATACATAGCTGTACTGACAAGAATACAAACATATTTTACTTCTCATAATTTGAATGTTATTAATTGAATTTTATTCAAACATCCCATAATTATATATTACCTATATAATGCCTATAAAATCTCAAAATCAAATTTGATATAAGTCTGAGTTACATATAACCTAAAGGAAAATAACCAACCTACTCTCAAAAGTTTAAATTAATGGTTATTTTATGAAACATTTCTCCATGTTGTGAAGTATTTTCAGTATCTGATTCACATATACACTTTACTAATTTTTATTTATATTAGAAACAATCTTATTTTACATACCAATCCCAGTTCCCTCTCCCTCCCGTCCTCCATTCCTCCCACCAACCCTCCATCCCACTCCCTATCCACGCCTCAGGGAGTGAGGCCTCCTATGGGGAATCATCAAAGTCTGTCACATCATTTGGGGCAGGACCTAGGCCCTTCCCTATGTATCTAGGCTGAGAGAGTATCCCTCCAAAGGGAATGAGCTCCCAAAGCCCACTCGTGCACTAGGGATAAATATCGGTTCCAATGCCAGAGGCCCCATAGACTGCTCAGGTCCCCCAACTGACACCCACATTCAGGGGGCCTGGTTTGGTCCTATGCTGGTTCCCCAGCTGTCAGACTAGGGTCTATGAGCTCCCCCTTGCTCAGGTCAGCTGTTTCTGTGGTTTTCCCCAGCATGGTCTTGACCCCTTTGCTCATCACTCCTCCCCACACACATATTTTTTATACTTCATGACGTCTATATTTTTCAAGAGATTTCAGTGAAACATTTACGCAAAAAATGTCTCTGGTCTTCAAATATATATATACTGAAAAATGTGGATCATGCACAATGCTAAATAGTTGAATGAAAAAGAAAGAATTAAGTTTATCTCCTATTGCAAATATACAAACTTTTTAAAAACTTTGCTTCTATAATAATTTTATCATTAGTTAAAGTTTTCCCTACTTACCAGTCCTTGTTCAAACAGTTCTTTTTCTTCTATCGTCCACTTTACTGAATAACTGGCTGGTTTTGTAGGAGAATGTACCCTGAAAGAAAAAAAGAGGAATTACAAAAAAAAAAAAAAAATGAAATGGAACGTTCCATTTAAGCAGCCAGAGGTTAGACACCAGTGGTTCTCAACCTTCCTAATGCTGTGATGCTTTATAGAGTTCCTCAAGTTGTGGTGATACCCCATCCTAAAATCATCTTCATTGCTATTTCATAACTCTAGTTCTGCTAGTGTTGTGATTCATAAAAGTATGTGTTTTCTGATGGTCTTAGGTGACCCCTGTGAAAGAGTTGTTGGAACCTGCAATGGGCTGTGATGCACAGGCTGAGAACCACTGTTATAGACAGTCACTTGAATAAAACCATGACTTCTAGTCTACTAAAAAAGGAGGGGAAGGGGACAGCTACTGCAACTGGTACCTGGGCAGTAAGGTTTACCCGTTTCTTATCTTTACCAGAATGAGTGTAAAAAATGTATATAACAATAGTATATGCATATACATAGCCAAAAGACACACAGAAAACCCCTGTTTAAAAACACACACACACACACACACACACACACACACACACACACACACACACGCACGCACGCACACAAATATAATCTTTGGGTCTGAGTAAAGACAACATTAAAAGACATTTCTCTGGTAACAAATAGGTCTCCACAGACTGAAAACAAAAAGCAGCCATTAATATGTTCTCAAAGCCTAAGAATTTAAATCATAAAACTATGGCATCGCATTTATTGCTTTTAAATTCTGTATCACAAGAAATTAGAGCATAGTAAGAAAACTCTCCAATTTCATCAAGCATTCAATCTTCTCACTAACTTCACTTTGCTTATGTAGCAAAATATAAAAGCCAAAGTCTGCTTAATGCTCAAACAAGTTTATAAATGCTGAATAATGACCATGTTTTCCAATTAAAAAGAGGTTATTTGTAAAACATTTAATTTTTCTAGAATTTTTTGAGACAGGGTGTTGCTATGTAGTCCTAATTGGCCTAGAACTTACTATGTAGAGCAAGTTGGTCTTCAACTTGTGGAAATTCTGATTTGGCCTTCCAACTACTGGAATTACAGGCATGTACCACTATCCCCAGTCCAATTTTCCTAGGTAATTTTTAGAAGTCACAGATCCAAATGAAATTGTACGTAACAAATTTTAAATTATCAGACGGAACAAAAATCAAGTCAATTCATAATATATCTTTATGATGTGATAAACTGCCAAAAGAAAGACATTTTTAAAAAATTCTGGCAAATACATGATGGCATAAATGTACTCTAATATCTGCGCCAAAACCATCTTTAAAAAAATCTCTTGTCTTTTGAATCAAGAGAGCTGTTCACTGACTAAATCTAACTGTTAAGAATGTTCTTCTAATTCTCAATTGACCTAAAAAAGTTTTAAGGGGCTGGAGAGATGGCTTAGTAGTCACAGTACTCAACTGCTAGCACTTCTATCAGGCTGCAACAACTGCCTGTAACTCCAGCTCCAATGGACCGGACACCTCTGGTCTCCCTGGGCACCCACACTCACACACTCATACCCACACAGAGACACAAGTGAACACACACAATGAAAAGTAAAAAGGATTTTTATTTTTTAAAAAAAAAAAAGGGTTTAAAAATATAAAATAGGTACATACATGATTTTTGCTGTTTTCTGCAGGCTGCACATGAAAAAAAAAGAAAACAAGAAGCTTGTGAAGAAGTTACTAAATCTGCAATTCAAAACTTTTAATGCAACTTTTAATGATTTTACCTGTTGGTGTATTTTTTATCATCTTCCTTTTGATTGACCCAGAATTTTCCTGGAAGTGATTTATTAGACAAATAATACCTAGGTAATTTTTAAGGAAACGTAAACAATATTAAAGTCATATAATTCTTATGTAGTATCAAGTAGGCAGACTGGTCAAAGACATTCAAATGTAATCAAAGCCTATTACCCTTGAAGCTTGCCCAGGGCTGTAAGTCCATGCTGTCTTTACATGTTGCCTGTAGGAATGATCACACACTGAAACACACAACACAATTCCTGAAGCGCAGCAATGCTGGTTTACCTTCTCTTCTCTACCACAAATGGCTAAGAGAAAGAACTTCAATCTTTTTCTTTTCTAAAATAGTAATTTGGGAACCAGTGTTTCCGTATTTTTTAAGAGTTCAGGATTCTTCTACACGCTATTACAAATAACATCAAATTTGTCAAGAAACACCCTCTCGGCATTGCTGCAACTAGCCAGCTACGAAACTATTCCTTAAGTGTGAACTAGTCTTTTATTTAACAAATAAACTACATGTCATATGTTAGGCTATGTACTACAGACAATATATAAACATAATAAAGGTTCTGCTTACCCTCTAAAATATATTTAGAGTCTAAATGCTACCTGTTTCTACATCTGGAAATGAATAAATGGCTACCTGAGTTTTCAATAACCTAGAATTGCACAGTTCAGTATGGTGGCCACTAATCACATGTGTGGATCAAGCATTTAGAACACAACTAGAATTAACTGAGATGCAGTGCTAAAATAAAATGTACTGTAGATTCCAAAGACTTAGTATGAGACATTAATGATGTTTTCATTTGAGGCTGGGAACATGGTTCAATAATCCTAAGAATCTAAATGAGGATCCCAGGACGTAAAAACAAATCAATAAAATGACCCAGAGACTGATACTGGGGTTCAAACTTCAACCTGAAGACCAGAGAAGCAAAGCAGCCGGCTGCTGCTCTCACCTCCGGCTCAGGCTGAAAGGGCTGATCCACGGACTAGCTCTTCACCAGGTCTCAAACTGATGCCTCTCCTCAGTGTGGCTGGAGAATGAATGAATCTCTGAGACATACCTTCTGTCTTATATACTTCCCCAATATTGGGGTTAAAGGTGTGAGCTATAATTCTCTTTTAGATTGATTCACTCTTGTATAGATCTGTGTATCTGTTCATCCTGAGTCTAAGGATCAAAGGTGTGTACCACTACCTCCTAGCTTCTGGCTGCTGGGATTAAAGGTGTATGCCTGGCTTCTATAGCTTGTGGCTGACTTTGCTTGTCTGAATCCCCAGTCAAGCTTTAATAAATCATAAATAATGTTATCACTACACTAGGATCCACATAGTTTTGTGAACACATAATCCCAGCATTGGGAGGCAGACACAGGTGGATCCCAAGAGCTTTGGATTAGCTCGCCAGTCAAGTCCGTGAGCTTCAGGGTTCATAAGAATCCTCGCTCAAAAAATAACTTGGAGAGCGAATAAAGAAAACACCTGAAGTCAACCTCTGGGCTCTGGACATACATGCACATACAAACATGTCCAGCATGTGTGTGGGTACACACACACAAAGAAAAAAAAATTTCATATAAGCTGATATTTTAAATAATGTGTAAAAAAACCATAAAAACTCATTTATTTTATTTTAAATGAGGCTACAAGGAAATTGGAGATTACATGTGCCTTTCATTAAAAAAAAACAATCTAGGCAATATTTGGAGTTACAGAGTAAGGGGTTAACCAATGTCAACTCAAGACACAGAAAATATTCTTAAATTAACAGAATCAGTTGGGAATAAAATAGCAGAAATTCTGAATTAAATAATGGGCAGAGAGAGCTGGTTCAGTGATTAAAGAGCACTAATGGCTATTCCAGAAGACCCGAGTTTGATTCCAGTAACCACATGGCAGCTCTCAATGGTCTGTAACTCTAGGTCCCGAAGATCTAACCACCTTACGGTCTTCACAGGCACCAGGAACATAAGAGGTTCACAGACATACATGCAAACAAAAACACATACATAAATAATAACAGTGAACAGAGATCCATAAAATGCATATGGAAAAGTTAAAAATAAGCCACTATTTGTTAGTAATCATTAAAAGCCAGAAAATTAGAAATTTTTGATTTATTGAATTTTCTGAAATTACTGATATCCTCTCATTTGACGTAACAACAGTAAAAGATGCTACTTTGTGCATAGATAGTTGACATAAAATTATACAATCAATACCTGTAACCAAACGTCATCTAGTAATTACAGTGGCCTCTTCCATAATGTTTGCATTGATCTTTTTTCTTTTCTTTTTTTCTTTTTTTTTTTTGGTTTTTCAAGACAAGGTTTCTCTGTGTAGCTTTGGAGCCTATCCTGGCACTCACTCTGTAGACTAGGCTAGTCTCGAACTCACAGTGATCTACCTGCCTCTGCCTCCCAAGTGCTGGGATTAAAGGCGTGCACCACCAACACCTGGCTGCATTGGTCTATTTTTAACCCTGAAACCTTTACTCTTCTCACAATCGATGAAGGATACTCTTCTTCCAACAGCATTTTCTCAATGACAGCTCTGTTCTCATCACTGATGGTGCTATCCAGAGTCCAAGGCTATTTAAAAGAAAGAATGGAATGTATAACTCTATGTATTTCATGACTTTAAAAGCTATCTTATTTTACTAAGTGAAATACATGATATAAATGGTAACACCATACAGCCATATTCTGATTTTCACAATCACCCTGAGACAAGCATAAACAGTTCACAGATACATCTGCAGCACTAGTGGCATTTTAAGTGGAAGAGAAGAAACCTCACACTAAAACCTACTGAATTACCTGTAATCAGCAATAATGGCTGCCATGCACAAAAGAACTCTTAGGCTTCAGGCATTTTGCTCAGCACTAAACCTGTTTTCAAAACTCAATTCTGTTTTACCTCAGCCACACCCTGAGTAAATGATCATACTCATTTCAATTCTCAAAGTTACAAAATTTCAATTCCTTTCTCTTCTTTAAGCTCCAGACTATGTGGTCACTAGCCACACAAGACCTCCCTTTGAATATCTAACTGGCTTCTCAAATGAAACATACTCAAAACAGAATTCATATTCACCTGTCTCCATCTGCCTTTCCAACTTCGAAAAGAACTTAACTTTTAACTTAATGTTTAACTTTCCACTTAAACAGCCAGGAATCATCATGGATTCTTTCCTTTCTCTTCCATACCCACATGCAATCCACTCAACAGCTCTACCTTTAAAATCTAATTCAAATTGGTCCAATTACAGCTCTACTGGAACACACAAGACCAAGCCACTATCTAAAACATTGCTTGGATTATTGCAAATGGTTCCTAATCAGTCCTTGATTCTACTCTTGCTTCCCCCCAGGTCTTTTCTTTACCACAACACCCAAAGTACATTTGGCAAAAATGAATCTACTACTCTGTATTGAAAGTTAAAGAAATGTTTCAAAATTTAAACCTGTAAGCATAAGCCAGCACTTCCGAACTCACTATTCTTTCTGCCTAGCATGTTAGTTATTTTATAATTCATTTATCCATTCATTTTCCCTGTTATATTTCAACTTAAATGTCACCTCCTCAGCATCCTTTATTGACTTTTCCTTGAGTATTCCCCTACCCTACTAACTTTGGTCAACACTGCTATTTCTTTTACAATCTATAAATGGTTTGTCTGCCCATTTATTGCCAGAACTCTGTTTTGTCTCTAGAGTCCATGAAAGCAAAGTCACATCTATCTTGCTGACACTTGGAGTGTTTTAACCGGCCCTACTATCTGGCATGATGAGTACGCAGTTACTGCTAAATGAAGATGTAGACTCTGTGATTTTGCCCTTCTTTCACTTGAAGAAATCAAAGCTGACAAATGTGAGGAAGAAATGTGGTAAAGATCTACACCTAAATCAAACTACATCTAAATTTATTTCTTAAGAGATCATTTTTTTCATAGTAGAAAAAAAAAGGTTCTATTTTTAAGTGAAGTGTTTCCATACACTTCTGCGACTGTGGAGAATTGATCCTCAGTTAAAAAAGGAAAAGAGGCACTCTGGACAACTAGCAGAAGTGTTAAGTCATCTGACTCAGCATACTTACAAGATAGCCATTCTCCCTTCTCCATGTTGAATCAAGGTAGTGATCTTGAAAAACTGATGCTGTATTTTCATCATTTCTGTAGTAAATACAAAAGGTAAGAGAAGACTGATGTTACATCCATTTACGGCTATAACTCACACAGGACAGGGGCTGGCCTGTTGTTGATGCTAAGCAAGTACCTTCCTTTCCTTAACAAAGACTAGGCACTAGAACAGTACCCGATCTGCCTTGTAAGCCCATAAGGGGAATACTATAATGTGATACAGCAGCCACAACACTCTGAGGCTAACAGCTACCACTTGAATTTTGGTTTATAAGTACACACAAACTCTATAGTTAAATCTTCCAGAAATATCAAAGCTACAAACCCTACTACCCTTAAAATGAAAAAAACAAAAACAAAAACAAAAAAAAACACTAGATGTAAGAACTAAAATAAAAATACTGAAGGAATTTAATAACAACTTAATTTTAAAAATAATTTGATTTGGAGGATTTCTATATCCATGAGAGATCGAAGTTTACTTATTCTGTCATTTCTTTTCAATGAAATAATACATACAATATGTGTTTCAGTTGCAAGAGGGTCTCAAGGCATGCTATAACCAATTTCAAACATACAAAAGACAAACATTAAATTTATGTTTCCTAGTGAAATTAATGACTTTTTGTTAACCTATTTCCTACCATTTACTCTATGAACCAAAAGCAATTTCTCTCAACTGTTGATACCAAACAGCTTTAAACTCATGTCAACTGATTCCAAAGAGACTAAAAGGCTTCTATGACTATGTCAGCAGAAGGAAACCTTTGCACAACTAGGTCTGCTAAGAGCACAGGAGGTGGGACTACCACTTCCAGTTCATTACAGAAATCTTACACAGTACACCACAGTGAGGAGTAACAACATTAACACTGATATATGCAACTGAACACCTACTTGAATCTCCTTTACACGGTTAAGCTTAAAATAACCTTTCCTCTCAAATCTACCAGACTTCCAGCTTCCTCTCTTAGCTCCTGAAACTTGTCTCCCTAGTGGGTCAACCCAGAAATAGGAGTTTGCCCCTTTTCCTTCACAACTCAATTCAGCCTGCCCCCTCTCTTTACTGTTTCCACTCTGCTCTAAGGGCCCATAGTTTCACACCTTAAGATCCTTAGTGGGTCAGAGCATGAGAAAAAGTTGGCAAGGCAGCTGATCATCCTCCTATACCCTTGTCCATTTACCGCTATCAAACACATACATATAGGTTTATTGCCTCTTCCACCCAACAAGAATTGATAGTTTTAAGACAGCAGGGACTTCGTTTTCACATGGCTATATACATATATACACCTAGGGGATGACATACAGAATGTAATCAACAGTTGCATGAATGAGTAAACAAGGCAGGTGGGTAAAGGACCAGAGGTCTGTAGTCGTTAAGAAATGAATACTTTACCACCAAACTATCTAGGCATGGTGATACTTAATTGTAATCCCAGAATTTAGGAGGTAGAGGAAGGAGGATCAGGAGTCTAATACAATAGCAAGGCCAGCCTGAGTTATATGAGAACCTGTCTCAAACAAAATGACACAATTAAAAAAACAAAAAACAAAAAAACCTTTACCTTAAAACCAATTGGAAACTAAAGGTAATAACAATCAGATTTGGGTGTAACAAATACTTAATTTTAAGGGGAAAAAGGGACCAAGAAGAACCGTGGCTGAGGAAATAATTATAAAGATACCACAAAAACACAGCAATAACTTGTATCTACAGACAAAGCAGTATGACCAAGGAAAGTGTCCTCTGACAGGATACTTACTATCAATGGGCCTTTAATGACCAGATTGGAGGGGTGGGGTGGGGGATGGGGCAGAAACAGGGCAGAAGGAAAAGAGAGGGAGTTCAGGTTTGTGCCTTGCGACTGGCTGGATGCTGCTGCCATGTACCGAACAGGGATAGCTCAAAGACAGGTCTTAAAGAAGGAAGTTGAAAAAGTGATGTTGAGGTACTTGTGAGACACATGAGTGCTGGTGGATTCCAATTAGAATCCTAGTCCGAAGCTCAGAGGTTTGTGGGTGAGTGAAAGATTAGGGAAAACAAGTATTAGGTGGAATTTAAGGAACTATATACCTTTATACATCAGAATGGCAGGGTCGCAAATCAACTTGGCAGAAATTAAGTCAGGAGAGATGCCAGGCTCAGAGATATCACTAGGTATGGCAGTGAGCACAAGTCTTACAGAAATGTTTGTTTGTAAAAGCATACAAATAAGGTGAGAAGAAATAACAGCTGAAAGAAAACCAAATGCAATGTTTCACTTTCATACCTAGCTTTAAGTAAGTACTTAAAAGCAATATGTTTCAAATTAATCCTCAAGAGTCCCTTAGACACAACTGTCCTCTGTAACACCCCACCTTGGGGGGCGGTAGTCACACTCAATTCGAGATGATTCTAACTCCAGCATTACAGGGCACCATTCCCCAGGTAATAAGGTCAAAGATGCTTCTTAAGCAGTGGCTGATGTCAGGAATCTTCATAGTCCTTTTTGCATGATGAATGAAAAAAAATTAAAATAAAAAAGGAAGGACATGACTGTTGCTATGTATAATGAAGGAGAAAGTTTATTGTAGATAAAAGGGAGAGCATGGGCAGAGGCAGGGACATCTGGGAGAGTCCACAGTGGACATTACCCGGAGTGAAGCTACGTGAGGAGACAAAGAGACAGGAGAGGAGCCACAGACCAAGAGACTGACCTAGAAAGTAAAGGGTAGACCAAAAGGAGCAGGTTAACTAATATGGCTGGATTATATAGGGAAGGGCAGTTGAAGGAAGGGAAGCCAAGCCTCAGGGCTGGAGAAGTTTAGGGTAGGGCCCAGGGTATGTCAGTCACACCCAATAACAGATAAGGACTGAGGGATGCTGGGAGAACCTCGAAGCCAGGTCCACTTTAATATGTAAATGGGCACCTCAGCCATCTGTCCAGGGTTTGAGACCTAACACCTAAGGTTAACATTACAAATGCCACCAAAAGGCCCTTGTCAAGAAAATGATACAAGAAAAAAGGAGAAAAAACTAAACACAACCAAAAAAGTTAAGATAAACCTTTGAAAAAGACGTAAAGTCAATGCTCTTATATAATGCTGACTGGGCCCAAGGTGAATTCATTCCTTTATGAATTCCAAACAACTGTCCTTGCCCACTTAGGTCGTTGACTTATACAAGTTAAAAACGTCAAATTTGTTTTAAGACTGAGTAATTACACTGATGTAAAGAACTGTTGTTATCTCGGGCTTAAGAACTTCAGAGAAAAAATAGTCGTATGAACGTAACAACACTCACCCTATTAACATATTCTAAGAGTTCAGTGGACATTTTTTTTTTTTTGGTTTTTCAAGACAGGGTTTCTCCTTGTAGCTTTGGAGCCTATCCTGGCACTTGCTCTGGAGACCAGGCTGGCCTCGAACTCACAGTGATCCGCCTGCCTCTGCCTCCCGAGTGCTGGGATTAAAGGTGTGTGCCACCAACGCTCGGCTTCGGTGGACATTTTTAAATGTTCCTTATTTTGGCACCGCATAAGGGAGAACTGGTATTCTATACAATCGAGCACCTCTCCTGTCGGATGAATTATACGAGACGGCCGCTATATAGGCCCCAAATAGGCCATTAGGAATAGTATATAGCTCAACAAAGTTTTAACGAAGTTGCTGACAAGTTACAAGTAATGTAATTGGCTGCATTTACGACTCAGGTCTTCTGGCTTCAACCCGAGTTCCTATTCTGGCTCCCATTACTTAAAAGGAGGGATAATTCTTACTCCTAAAGCAAGGTGTCAAAGCAGCAGGTTCAGTTTAAAACCACACAGCCCGTCCTGCAGGCACTAGTATTTAACAACAGCCCTCACTGGATCTTCACCATATTATCCCTAACACAGTGAAGAACACCGTCGGGCACCTTACACACGCTAAAGCATCTTTCACAATTATTTCATCCGATGCTCACAACAGTAAGACAGACGCGTGATTCTTGGTTTCCAAGCAAGCGAGCAGAGGCTCAAACGCCTCGACCATGGTCACAATGACAGTAAACAGGAAGAGCAGGAGCAGAAGGAACACCTGAACTGTCCAGCTGTAAAATCTGGACCCCTTGAATTAAGCTGTCTTTCCGCAAGTTTCCACAACTTTCTCTGCGAAGGAGAGGTCGCTTGTGGACGCAGAGCCAACTGTCTACGAAGTCAGGTCCTGTGGACTAGACACCCGTGTTCAGGAGGCTGTGAGGGGCCTGAGACACAGAGAATGCGGGGAGGAATCCGAATTGGAACACGTCCACTGCAATCCCGGAAGCAGCGAAAAACAGTGGGGTCCGGGCGCTCACCCCACGCCCCGAGCCGCAGACCCAGCCGACTTCCGGCCACGAGCAGCCCGAGTCCCGGCGCCGTCCGCGCGGACCCTGGGCCGACCGCATCCTCCGGCCCTCGCCTAGCACCGCCCGGCCCGCAGGACCCCGCTCCGCGCCTCACCCCGGCTGTGCAGACGCCACCACATCTCCCTCCACATCCACATCCGCCTCCTCCGCCTCCATGACTGCACCTGACCCGGCCGTACCCACGAGATCCCGCGAGATGCAGCGGGCCGGGGCCGGGGCCGGGCCGGGGGCGGGGCCTACAGTGTTGCGCGCGCAGCTGGGGAGGCGGGGCTTCCGGGGAAAGGCGCTGGCTCGGGGAGACCCAGGGGATTTGTTGTGAAGGAAGCCCGCACAGACCTCCGCCCTCTTTTCCTCTCCTGGTCCCTGGACATACTGGGGTGTCTCATGGTCTCACGTGTAACGTGGATTACTCAACAGCAGGCATCTTTCCATTCGGACCAGAGACCTGCTTTGTGAACTGAGCGTGTGACAACGATTGCCTCCACACACACACAGCCACCCCATACTCCCTGGTTCTGTTTACATAAACACAGAGCCACCCCATACTCCCTGGTTCTGTTTACACACACACACAGCCACCCCATACTCCCTGGTTCTGTTTACACACACACACACACACACACACAGTCACTTCGTACACTCTCGAGTCCCGCCCTCTTCCCCTCCTCTCACTCACCGCAGTGAATTCTTAGAATGATCCAGTGGGTGTAGGGTTCATGGATTTTATGTCACAGACAGGGGAAACAGGCTCAGAAAGTTGATGTGATTGCCCACGCCTAGTGCTAGGAAGACTGACTAGCCTTTTAAACTCTGTGTGCTCACCGTGTACAAATCATTGCTGGGAATCTGAAGCAAAGAACTTAACGGTTTCCCGAGACAGTAGATGCCACCTCTATGCATTTCTCTGCCCTAGAATCTGTCTTTCATTAGTTAGAATCCTTGGCTCACTGTCTCCTCCCCTATTGGGAGAAAGAGTAGGAGCTCAAATGTTGAGACTTATTTCACACCTCAGTTTGAGAGTGTGATGGCAAGAGATGGAAAAAATGTGTAAAATGAGTGTCCAGTGCTCTCAGTGTGAGATTTAACCTCAGGATAGCCTGGATATGTATTGTAGTTTTGTTTGTGTGGCTATTATCAAAGGACTTCTCCAGTAACCAACGCTAACGGCTCCTCTGACACAGAATAGGCAGTTAAAGATGTCTATTGAATTTAATTGGGGAAATGCAAAATTAAAACACTAGTCTCTAACTCAAGTTAAAAAAATAAGAAAAAAAAGTATCAGAGGGAATATGGCAGTACCTACTAGGCAGGTAGAGCCAGGAATGGTGCCTATTTTCACTGTACATGGTGAGGAGCTGAGGAAGCCTTGACTGGATGTGTAAGGAGTGGTTGAAATCCCAAGTGAATGTGTATTGTTATGTGTTCAGCCATGTCAAGTAGCCGGTGCCTCAGGCCTATGTGGCAGTCATCCCAGGAGGGGTCAGGCTCAGAATGGCAAAGCTTCCTATGGTCCTAGTGTGAATGTTTAGGAACAATTGACCACATTGTGCAAACACTAGCAAGTGCAGCTTCTTCCTCCTGAGTGTTTACAGCCTGAGACTGCTTCCCTGCAGAGACCTCCTAGAGACTAGCTTACTCCTGCCCCTGTGCTATTCACAATAACTGTGCTGAGGTTTTGTACTGTGGTCTCCATGTTGTGGGTATAGTTGGTGTCACTCCATCAGAGTGTGTTCAGCCCAGCTTTTTGTGTATATATCTGTTGTTTCTTTAGTTTCTTTCTTACCTTCATTCCCTCACCACTCCAGTCATGTTTCAAGGACCACACCTATGCAAGACAACGTGACAGCCACACAGACTAGAAATGCTCTTCATTCATTGGGTAGACAATAAGAAGGATATGGCTGTGGTAGTAAAGCCCAATAGCTGTGCGTTGATAGGCCATTGCTTTGGCACTGCCCAGCAAACAAATACAAAATGTGAAAGGATAAACTGTTTCCAGGTAGCTTACCTGCATCACCTTCAAGCTCTATGCAGAAATAAAGGGATTAAAAAGTATTTAGCCTATAGCAAGGTAAAGTTACAGGACCAGGCATCCAATAGCTAGATATTTAAAGAAGTAAGAAAATAAGAGCCATAGAAAGGAAATGGTGATCCATTGAAATCCATTTTATTCTGACACAGATGCTAGAGTTGCTATGTGTAGGACATTTCCATGTGAGAGTCCCTATGCTAGAACTGACATGTGAGAGTCCCTAAGCTAGAACATTAAAACAGTGATTATAAGTACACTCTGGGTGTTTAAAAAGTTAAGTAGAGACATAGAAAATATAAAAAGGATGACACCAAACCTTTGGAAATAGAAAATATATTTCCAGAGATGAGAACACATTTGATGGGACTAATGGAAGAGTAGATATTTGTGAAGAAAGAATCAGTGAACCTGACCATATAACATAAACCATTCAAATGAAATACACAGAGTGACATAAATAAATATGGAAAAGGAATCACTGAGCTGTTAAATGAGCAACTTTGAACATTCCGTTATATAAGTAATTAGAAAAACAGGTCAGTAAAACATTTAAAAAATAATGACTGAAGATATTTCCTATTTTGAGGAAAATAATAAATTAATAGATTCAGGGAACCCCCAAAACAAATGATGCTGTACTAAGGCCAATTATAAGTAAAACCAGTAGACAAAGACTTTCTCAATTTCTTGTTGAGAAAAATGGAATCCAGAAAGCTGTAAAGCAATATGCTTAAATATAAGGAGGAAATTAACTAGTCAACTTAAAGATCTATTTTTTAGTAAGCAAGCTTTCCAAAAATGAGAACTAGACTTTGTTTTTGTTTTGTTTTGAGACAGAGCTTGCCATGAACTCAAGATGCTCTTGCTTCCCTCACTAGAGGGCTGGAATTACAGGTTTGCACCACTGTCCTCAACAAAAAATGTAGGAAGATATAAAAATTTGAAAGATCAAAAATTAGTAAGCAACATCCTCCAATGAAGAACACAGGATGCATTATGTAAGACTCTGTAAGTGTGTGGAGGCATACATACATGCTTATATCTTTGCATGTACACGTCAGCATAAGTTTATGCACTTGACAGTGGCCCAGAGGCCACTTCCTCTATCATTTTCTACCTGTTTTTTGATACAAGATCTCTCACTGAATCTGGCACTCGCCAATCAGCAAGTTCCTGTCTCTGCTTCTCCAGGCAGGCACATTCCACCAAGCTCCACTTCTCACCTGGGGATCTGAACTCACCTCCTCCTATTGAGCCACAGGCCCTTTACTGCCTGAGTCATCTCTCTAGCTTTATATGCAAAACCTTTCCTTAGTATTTAAATCTAAGATTATTAACTGTTAAAAAAAAAAAAAGAGGCCAGCCATGACAATACATGCCTGTCAAATTCCAGTCTTATAGAAGTGGAGGTGGGATGATCAGAGCCAGCCTGGGCTAATAATAGAAGTGATGATGATGATGGTGGTAGTGATGATGAATGATGATGATGATGATGATGACAATGATAATGATGATGACAACTAATGAAGTATGAGATTCCTGAAGTATATGACATCAATTTATAAAGTGAGATCCGCCAGCATCTGCCTCCTGGGTGTGAGGGATTTTCTTGACTGGATTTTCTGAGGTAGGAAGACTTTTCCTATATCTGAGCCACACCTCCTGGTGGCAGTCCTCATAAAAGGACATGGAAGAACAAAGCTTTTGCTTTTTGCCCTTACTCTCGCTGGCAAGTTCATCTATCCTTCACTAGTATTAGAACCTAGATCTTCAGGATTCCAACGTAGACTGAAGACCATCTGGTTCCTGGGAATCCCTTAGAACTGTGGCACCAGACTGGGACTGCTGAGACATGCAGTCTCACAGCCTGAACAACTACCAGACTTGACATTTCCATGAAGAGACATCCATGGTTAGACTACCCAGACCTGAAGGTATTCTAGTAAACACACACACACACACACACACACACACACACACTCAGTTTTATTCATTCGGAGAACCCTGACTAATAATACTCCCACTCCATTTAGGGATGAGGAAACAAAGATCCTGAGACTTACTGTTCCATGGCTAACAAGTTCCAGAGCTGACACTCCAACCCAAACCTTTTCCAGTCTGCTTGCTGTGTTGTAAGTTCATATTACAGTGGAAAAGGGGGATATTTCGCAATACAATGTCATTTGGTTTAAATAACAAGTGGATGAATTTTCTAGTTTGAGGTATTTGAATCTGGAAATTAATAGTATATCTTGAGGAATAGAATCTTACAATAAGTATGCACATCTTTTTATGTAAGCACCAATGCCCTGTTTCCTTTGTGGATTCTAAAATAATGTGATTGGGGACACCAACCTATAAACCTTCATGGATGTTGCTAGAGAAATGTTTAGTCAAAAAGTCCTCATCTCACTTTTTAAGCTATAGTACTTTTGACCCCATTGGACAGACAGCTTATTTGTGTCTTGCTTCTCCCTATTTCTAGTGAATGAAAAAAAAGATCACTGTGTTTGTATTGAAAAAACAGAGTGTCATTGCAATTTTAATCCATAGATTCTGGCATGTTAGCATTTATGCTAATCAGTTTGGATTTTAAAGTGCTTTAAAAGCAGAAAGTGTCATACACTACTCTAATATTATTTCCTTATGAATGGAACTCTCTGCCAAATGATTGCCAGAGACTTAAAAGAGTTCCCATCTTAAAAACACAATAGCTAAAGAGCAGAGAGGAAGCCCACTTTATCTCTATAGAGGTGATAAAATCGATGAATGCAGACATAGAGTTATGGATTCTATGGCAAGAATTCTTGGCAAGAATTAGATG